CCATTATCTTGTTATTAATACACCTGGGCAAGTACATATCTTCTCATTCACTTTCAAATACTAGACTATAGCTGCTTAAAAAGATGCAAATTAATTCCTTCTTTGTTTATGCAGTTTTGTTTTATGACTGCTCTGTTTCACACTACTAATCTTTAATGGGCCTTCAATTTCTTTTTTCTTTTTCTTTAAAACAGCAAATGAATGCCGGTCCTTTCTTTTAAATCCAGACAGAAAGAGAAAAAATATTTAAGTTTTCATGCCACAGCTGCAGGCTGTGAATTATCCCACTAGGGAAGAGTGGAAATACCACCCACATAATCCAACAAGAGGCTTGATTCATTTTGTGTCTGAAGCAATCGTTGTGGTCTTACAAAGCTGAAATGAGTTTCCTTTGCAATCTTCACAGGAGAAAAAAATGAAAATATCTTCCTTACAGGCTCAAAGCAAGATTCCACTTTTTAATTTATTTTTACTCCTATTTCTCATTTTTTATTTTTCTTAGTTTCTCGCTATTTTGCAACTGCCTTACTTTACATATAATGGAATTGAATATGAGACAGGATATAAAGAAGAGTCAAGCAATTTCTTCCCAGGCCTATCAATCCCAGCTGAACTTGTGGCAAGTGATTTAGTTAGTGACTGATACAGGAGACTTTGCAGAGCTTGTTTTTAAGGCTCCTGTTTATTCCAGGACAGTTAGAAAACCTTCCTGTCTCACAGACATGAGGAGTTAGATGCCATCTGTTTAACATCCCAGAAGAAGCAACTGCCTAGGGTCCTCTCTAAATATGCAGGACTCCACTCAGTATGCACAGACACTATGTAGCTTCCTACAGATCATCAATAGTGAATAATGAAGAGAGAGAGATTAAGTTCTGCCTTTTAGGTTCTTTACTCAAGGCTGTAGGGAGGTTTTTTCCTCTTGGGATCCTAATGCTTGAATTTTAGCTTGGAGAACTTTAAAGTGCTCTGGATATGTGTGTGTGTGTGTGTGTGTATATACATATATATATATATATATATATATATATATATATATATATATATACAATTTTTTTTAAAATGAGCTGGATAAATGATTTAAAAGTTCAGCTACTGACAGATGAAATGATGACTGCAGTCTGCAGTAAAAGTTAGCTGGTTGCAGTTCTGTCCAGAAACAGTCCTTCAGTCCTTTCTATTGCCTCAGAATATTCATACATTTGCTGACCATTCCTTCATACAGTGATGTAGTATTTATTAGGACAAGAGGACAGAAGGAAGGACAGAAGGCAAAGTGGGGAAGGAACAGAGAGAAAGAAAGAGAGAAAAAAAGAATGAGAGAAAGGAAGGAAGGAAGGAAGGAAGGAAGGAAGGAAGGAAGGAAGGAAGGAAGGTGGTTGGTTTGAACTCTTGCTTGGTGAGGTTGGAATTAAATAGATGCTTTTATCAGATGGACTAGCTGATTTTTGTAGGTCCCTTCCAACCTGGACTATTTTATTCCATCTCTCCAGTGGATATCATGGACATGAGATTAGTGCTTCTGATGTACATGAAGTAGCAATTGCTGTTGTATGTTTAAGGTGTGCGAGCAGGTTCACTTTGAAAACACTTTCCAGATCAAAACTCTCAGCTGAGTTGGATCCCTGCCTGAATGATTTCAGGATACTGACCAAGCTTTGGGCTGGGTGGTGTAGTAATCTTCTCAGTTCTGTCAAGAACTTGTAAGGATGTGGAAAAGCTCATCTCTTAATCTGATTTCAGAAGTCTTCATCATAAAAGGCTTATATGTTTCAGATGCAAGTAAAGATTTGAACTAAAGAATTTAATTTAATTGTAATTTCATTTGACTTTTAAATAATAAAAAATATCTAATATTTCAATACTTTATTGCTGTAATTTTTCTCTACATTGAAACAGATTTAAATTCAAGTTATATTAAATACATTTCTACATATTTCATCACATCTCTGTGTGCTTAAATTCATGTGTGTTTCAGATCTAAAACCTTGATCAATGCTTATTCTAGTGACAGCAGAAATATGGCTCAGAATTCAGTGAACTCACACAAATTTTGCTGAGACCAGTGAAGTTCTAAAGAGATATGGGCAGTATTTAATAGCTTTAGACATATGTAATTAACTTGTAGTCATCATTGTTTTAAGAATCTATCAAAAAAGATAAAAATTAAAAAAATACGTGTCAGCTTACCACTTTTTAGTTTACTCATAAATCATAGCCTTAGCTGTATTTTGTTATGTATATTTAGGAGCTGTAATCTCTGAAAAGCTTGCCAGGCCTTGCCTGTGAACTCACACTAATAAGCATCCTAAACAGAAAAGGAACCTGAATACAGGGGAAATAACTGTTCTGAGAGCTCTGGCATGGTCCTCGTTGCCAGGGAAACCTCTTCTTTGTCTCTACGTGTTCGGAATGGCTGCCTCATTAGACACTGAACCTGATCATCACACTGCACTACCAGGAGAAAAAAAATAAGGAAGAGAAAATGCTAAGAATTCCACAAATCTTTAAGAAAATGCCAAGAATAGGGGTAATCTTAAATAAATATATGTGTAGCTATTATCATAATTATGTTCTGTAAGGGTAAATCTGTTCAGGCTGCTTCCTTCCACATTTATTTGCAGGTGGAGGTGAGCAATTCTGGATTTTTTTTTTACTGAATGAAAAAACAAAAAAGAGAAAAAGGAAAAAAAGAATCTGAACATAAAACTGGTGAATTGCATATTTTATCTAAAAAGTCTTACTTTTAATATTGAAAAACACCAATTTAATAAGGTCATTCTGCTTATTTGACTGCCTGAAACATTGTTTCAGCATTTCTATAGCAGATTTTATTTGTGGAGTCAGAAGCATAAAATGTCAGGGAAAAACCGGTATAGGTGCATTTATTACTCTGATCATAAAGAGGAGTGGTGAAAAAATAACAAAACTTGAAAATATATAGTGACAGGAGAGTTACTTTATATTTACTACTAAGTTTTAATCAAGATACTAAAAACAGCACCACATAAACTTCTGAAGTGCAGAACTGGATGCAGTTTCAAGGCATTACTCATTGGCAATAAAACTATGAACCCAAGGTCCCTCAGGAGCCCAGCTCCTGACCTTGGCTGATGAGAGAAGCCGTTGAAAACAGAGCCAGAGCTTAACCTCCACCCTCTGTGGTTTATAAATATCAACATAGGGAAGGGATTTTAAAGTCATTGTCCCAACAAGTCTGTTCTCTCAAAAGAAAAATAAAATCCAAATCACAGGTGAAATAGTTAAGGAATGCCTGACTTTACTCTTATTTATGAAGAGAGAAAGCGACCCAGCTAGACCTTTTCTTCCTTATTTTTTCTCGACTGGGCCAGATGTTTAACTAAGTTGTTAGGTTCAAAAACAAGAGAGAGCCTGACCAGGTGGTCTGGGATTAACTGGTAGCTTTCCAAGACCATAAAGAAATTACATGAACTAGATTTACATGTACCTGGAGCAATTTTCCTTCTTAGTAAGTGATAAGCTATGCAGAATCTCTGACGTTGCCTAAGTAACAGTATTCAAATTAATATATTTTCTTTTTTAAAAGAATGCCTTTTATCTAACAAACATTTCAGGGATTATTTTTTCTGTCCTCTGGGATAATATTGCTGAAAGAGGACTTGCAGACTGCAGTTAGAAGAAAAGAGGAAAGAAATGGCTGAATGTAATTCACCTGTCCACTACATGGCAAGGACACAGTTCCTCTCCTTGTAAAGTAGCTTTTTTCAGTTCCATGGTGAAATGTTTCAAAAATTCAGTGAGAGTTGAGTCATTAATTAGAAATAATTTCTCCAATTGGAGACTTGAGGCAGAGAAAGCTATTCTGGAGTGCTCCTGTAACCTCCAGAGTTCTTTCCTTCCTTTATTTTAAACAGTTTCACATAGAGAGCAACTATAAGAAGATATTTAAAATTAATATACAAGGCAAGAAGGAGTAGCAGGAATGGTACTAGAATATTACTTGAACTGGATCTGCTGTGCAGGTGTGAAGTAAATGTTCTTTGCACCACTAATTTAATAAATTTTGGTAAATACAGAGAAAGTAAATGGTTCATCTTGGCTTCTCTTTTGAGCAAATACACACAAGGATACCAAGGCTTGAAAAAGAATATTAAAAAACATGGCTGGCCTGAATCTTAATGCATCAATGTGTGAGCCTACATGTCTGTGAGAAAAGGTAATTAATGAAAAGATACAGTTATAGCTAGGTAGTAATTATAATCACTCTATTTTATTATGATACGGAAGCAGGCTGGTAGTTCTAGGAGCTGCATTTCTAGGTCCTATTTATGTTCTGAGCACCAGGTTTTCTTCTTGAATTAGTTTCCATTGAAATAGTTTCTTGTTCTATTAACAGACCCTAAATGCAAAGTCTTGTGTCTCTTCATTTTTGAAGGTGAGTTTAGAAAAAATGTTGAAGAGATTTCACTAACCTAAGGATCTCTCAATGCAGAAAGCAGAAAATATTTAAGAAAAAAATTGTATACTTTCATTCACACATGCACCAAAACCAAAAAAAATAAAGAGGAAGGGAGATGCAAAAGATGCAAATGCAACTTTTGATCCGGTTTTGTAAAAATTCTACAAAATATGTACTTAGCAGCGTGTCAATTTTTTTTCAATATAGCAGACTATATAAGGTACCAAATAGTTCATACTGTTTTATATACACCATTGTGAGACCTAAGGAAACAGTACTGCCAAAGTTCAATCCCTTTAAATATTACACATCCAGTGTGCATGATGGCGATGGATGCACAGTCACCATCAGCGTCAAAGCAGAAACTTTTGAAACTAAAAATCTAAGCACTTCTAGTTGGATCATGAAGGAAAAAGGGGACCTGTACAGACTGCAAAAACCCCTTAGAAGTCTCTAGACAATAGTCCTTAAGTCATTGCTGAGTCCACAAACTGATGCTTGCACATACAAAATAGCCTTTCAGTAAAAAACACAGAATAAGTAAGCAGAAGGGCTGCACCTTGGAGAGTGACTTAAATCACATGCAGATGGTATATTATAGATACCAAATATCCTCATAAGATCCTTGGTCCCATGATGCAGCATGCATCTTGCTCTCTGATCTCAGCATACGTCAAAGCCCACTGTAAGAAAGAAAGCAGCAGATCAGCTTCATCTTTATCCCATTATTTTTCACATTACAGTGTGGACCCCTAAGTAACCAACCAGCAACACTAAATGGGAGCAATGATGCAATTCCTAGGTCTCGCACAAGGCACATGCAGGAAAAGGAATGAGATTATTTGTTTAAGGGATATAAGAAAGAAAGACACAGATCTCTTACCTTAGCTGGTGTTATAAGAACATGGTGAGTACCCATGTTTTTTGTTTGTGTTTCTTTTGTCTCTTGAAAACCCAACTTTAGAGGCATACGCACATCTTCTTGCTAAGGTACCTGAATTAACAGACACAGTGATGGGAATCTAAAAGTTTGTATTTCACTCCAGTGTGAAAATTGCAGTCTGTTGTCTCTCTAGTCTATGTCTCTTTTTTGTGAGTATAAGCAACAAAAATAGTTTCTTAAAGCTGGAAAGGTAAATCAGATATATAAACTAGAAATCTGCCTGCCAAATGCTTCTTATTCTACCAGAGCCCCCAGATAACACCCTTCAGATATGTGGAATGCAATTTCACTTTTAAAAGGAAGTATTCTAATCAGTCAATTGATATTTTTAAACACCATATTGTCACTGCAAAATGAAAACCACCGATGACTCTTACAAAAATTTGGTACTGGCAGAGCTACAAAAATAATCTTTCTAAGTCTTGGGACATAGTGTTTATGCAGTCTAACAGATCTTGTCTCAGCATAACATATATTAAAAATCTAGAACACACTTCAACGATTATTTTTAAGGTTTTTTTCCTTGCTGAATGGTTTTGCCTTTGAAATTATCTCTGAAACAATAGTACTGCATGCATATTTGTGCCTGTTATCCCAGGTATACTCAAGAATATTTGAAAGGATTAAAAAAGATACTTGCCCTTCTGGGTTAAATATTTTTAGCTTTCTTGCATTGACATTGCAGGTGAAAGCCAAAAATTAAATAATAAAAAAAGAAATTAACCTGTTGGTAGCAACCTACCGTTTTCAGTCTTATTTCCAATCACACCGAGACAGAAAGTAGCCCTGACAATTCTGTGACTGCTCCAGCCCATTGTAAACAGGAGGTGGCAGTTCTAGTCTTTGATCCAATATGCTGCAGTGTTATAAAATGGCAGTAACTAGCTAGGGAAGACAGTTCCACAATATGCAAGCTAAATAGCTTTTCCAAGGCTAGCCGGAGCTGCTTCCCCTTTATTCCCTTTTTGTAGAAAGCTAAAATGTGTCACACAGAGAGAGAAAAAAAAGAATAAAATAGAGCAGCCTTCTGACAGCTCAGAATTGGTACTGTGATAGAGACTCTAGAGCTAACTACACTGCATCCAGGGCTTTTTATTTTTCTTTTCCTTTTTTTTCCTTTTGTTTTGAGTGTGCAAACACATAAAGATTGTCTTTATAGGGCTTTTGTGGAAAAAAAACCCTCTCTATTCATCTTGCGCTCTGTCTCATGCATTAGTTTCAAAATAATTTTTATCTTGGAAAATACTTTTATTTTAAAATACTAAAATTCCACTCAAAACTAGATCAATAATACCCTTCCCCCAATATATGACAGATGAAATCTAGCAGGAGTGGCTCTAAAATCCAATTCAGCCTATTCAATGGGCCATTTTTTAAAAATTTCTGATGCCTTTCTGAAATACTGCTGAATTGCTGAGAAGACATTGCTTTATCATTAAAGCAACTTCAGGATGAAACCTCCTCTGTTGGTTCCAGTTGTGGAAAGGAAACCTGCATGTTAAAAGGTCCTATGACAGTAAAGACCAAGAGCAAAGTAGAGCCATTGGAAAGTCTTTCACCATAGAAAGAAAACAGCAGAGCAAGGGAGATAAAAGGGTGTGAAGGATGCAGTCTGACATCTAAGAGAAGCTATACGAGCAACCATTGTACTTAATGCCTTTTAACCCAGCTCAGTGTCTGATCATGACAAATACCAGGAATCACAGCAGAAATATATTCACAGCCATATTGAGAATTTTATAGAATGCCTGGAAGCTAGGTGGAGGTGAGAACTACTGAGAGCACCTGACATTCAGAATCATGCAGAGTAGCACATATCTGCAAGAGGCCATTGTTTGGGAAGTTGTTTAATGTAATTGCCAAACAACACACTTTCTTAGGAAGAATTGTGGGATGCTTCATTTTGATCAAATAAATTTTGTCTTTGTGCTATCATTTTTGTAAGTAACTTCTCTGAGTAGAACAACTTCTGTGTACTGTGGTGCATGAAACTAGGACATAATGTCATGGCCATAGATAACAAAATATCCTACTGTTCCCATCATGCTGTCCAGTGGGAACTCCTGTAGTCAGAGATTCAGCAGTGTACATTAATCTTCACAGTGTTGTACAAGACATCACAAACTCAATTCCCTTGCATCCTCACAATGGAGTATGTTCCACTGTAGAAAGATAAGACATGAGTCTGATGTTGTTAATCAGACAGACACATACTCTGACATGTTTCACAACAGGAAGAGAACACAGATCATGACTTGTAGCTATGGAAAACAATCAGAATGTTAAGGGCAGTACTGAACCAAAGAAGAAATCTGGTTATAATTGTAAAAGTGTTGTAGAGGCAGGAAAGCAGTACTGTAGTACATATTATTCTGCCAGGATCTTTCTGAGAGATTTAGGAAGCATTTAAGGGATTTACACACAATGAAATTCACTTTAATTACTGTGTATCAGCTGAGCAATGGTAGCAGTCTCCAAGAGTGCCATATGGCCGAGTTAAGGTCTGCAACATTGCTTACCCTTCTTTACATTACAACTTAGCTCTGTTTAATGACATCACATTTACTGAGCACTAGAGGAGCACAGTTGAAGAGATCGGTGATTCTTTTGATGTATAGTACCTTAGGCTGTGTTGAACTACATTTCATTGGAGTATTTCCTTAAAAAAATATTAAGGCAGGGTAAAATCAGCACTGAGTAACCTAATTAGAGGGGACATCCATCAAACCAAACTTTTCACACAGAAGATCTCATGGTAAGAACTACGAGGCTGTGCAAAGACTTACAGATGTTCTGGGTATAAAACGGAAAAAAAATAGAGTATGACACAGGTTCTTAAATCTCTGTTCTAAGCAGAGGTATGTGCTTTCCTGTCTGCTACAAAGATCAATCTATTTAAGGTTTTAATTTTATTACATTAAGACATCTTTGTAGTCTCCTTTATCCATGAGAAATAAGATCAACCCCAAGCTGCAGCACTCACAAGGAACAGTGTTATTTGTTCATATGAAAGAGATTTGGAGCCAGAACTTGAATTTAATTTCCCTGTGTATATGCAAAACCCACATATGCTGGAGCAGTTTGAGAGTTTTTTTCCCAGTGATTCCACTGAAAATTGTATCACTTTGGCGTATTTATCTCAATTTTACTGGGACTAGAATCTCCTTGAATCTCTGTGTTGCATATCCCTGACAAATTCTTGAAGAGCAACCTACAGAGCTAGTCTTTTTTTCTCTCCTCTCTCCCACACTAATATTCTTGCATGCAATAAGCGCAGCTCTATCCCTGAGAATCCTTCATCTCAGATCAGTTAGCACAAGTCTAGTGGTAGTTATGACAGCTGTGTAGACTTGTAGATGTCCCATGGGAGAGGAAGAAAGATGAAAGCATGGAAACTGAGGCAGACAGAGAGCAGTGTGGCAGTTCAGACACTGAAAAATAATGTGGTATTGATACCTCTCTCAGAAGATTTATAAAGCTCTTGTTGAAGCTCAGATATATAAACTGTCCTGATAGTTTCAATGAGACTACTGATGAACAAACTTAAGTGTGTGTTTTGATACCTCCAATAAGAGACAGATTACAATGTATGAACTTCACTAGATTTTTAAAATATTTGAAAAAAGCTTAAAAAGAAATACAGACTTAGACCCACAAACAAATTGCTGGAGCTAAAGGGCCATTCTGTGTCAGCTGAGACACTGTAACTGTTCATAAAAATTCTCTTTCATCGCAGAAGTGAATAAATCAAATTATTGCAATTTTGCAAGAGCAGAAGCCCACACATTGACAGGAGAGGAGAAGGGAGGAGAGGAGATGAAATTGAAGAGGAAGAGACATATGCAGAGTGAAGAGAAGAAAGAAACTACCTGCCTTTCAGAACCAAATAACTGAGAAAAATGTAAAGTATAAAATCCTGGTTTCTGGAAGCAGCGAGACAGTACTTTTAGAGATGTGAAAAATACTGATCTAAACAAAAAAAGTAAAAATGGGACAGAGTTCAAGGGCCTGAATTCTATAATAAAAGTTGGATAATCTGACTTTTTGCCAACTCAGATTTGTAAAATGCTTTTGTATTTACTAAAATTATTTTACCTGAGATTTTATTCATCACCACGTTAGATATGAAAATTTGTCTTAATTTACTCACTAGGTTTCTACTAGAATTCTATACACAGCGAGTAGAATTGTCTAATAAGCTACAAGAGACATTTTCTTCTGCAAAAGCATTGAAATGTCTCTTTTTTTTCCTTTTAATTTTCTGCTCTTTTTTCCCTCTAAACAACATAGACTCACAGAGTCATTGAGGTAGGAAATGACCACTTAAGTCATTGAGGCTAACTGTTAACCTGAGACTGCCACGTTCACCTCTAAATCATTCTTTCAAGTGCCATGTCTGCATGCTTTTTCAATACTTTCAGGATGGTTATTACATCACTGCCCTAGGCAGGCTATTCCAATGTCTGAACAGCCCTTCATTGAAGATGTTTTTCCTAAGATCCAGCCTAAATCTCCTCTGGCTCAATGTGAAGGTATTTCTTCTTGTCCTGTCACCAGCAGCCTGGGAGAAGAGACCAATCCCCATTTCTCTACAGCCTCCTTTCAGGCAGGTGTAGAGAGCAATAGGGTCTCCCCTGAGCCTCCTTTTCTCCAGGTCAAATAACCTCAGTTCCCTCAGCTGTTCATCATGACTTGTGCTCCAGACCCTTCCCCAGCTCTGCTGCCCTTCTCTGGACACCCTCCAGCCCCTCAGTGTCTTTCCTGCAGTGAGGGGCCCAGAACTGGACACAGGATCCACTCGCCAGTGCTGAGTAGAGGGGACAATCACTTCTGTAGCCCTGCTGGCCCCACCATTGCTGACCCAGGCCAGGATGACATTGAGCTAATGTGTGTGAGGTGCATATCCTCCTTCACTGCGTCCCTGATCTTGCCAGTTGCATTCTTCTCACTTTTGTCACCAGTTTCGCTTCATGAGCATGAGACTGCTTCATTACTCACCATAAAGGTATAATCAAACTATTCCTGCCCAGTGTCTTTTGTTCTCCCTGAAATGCCAACTTTGTGCCTGTTGCTGAGATATCAAATGTGTTTTATTCTCTGGATATTATGGAAAAATTTGAAGCTGGCTTTTCTTAGTTCTGTCAAGGGGAAGGGTCAAATTAGTGGGTTTATTTTGCCTTACCATTGAATTCTTCATGCAATTTCTAACTATCCTAATTTGTTTATTTCCCGTGAAGGGCTTGTTATGAATTATTTTGTTAAATATATGAGATTGTTATCTAATTTAAATTAACTTAAACATTTAACCAAGGCAATTATAAAAATGCACATTTTAAGCACAAGTTATTATTCATAGAAATAGTTGGGTTTTCTGTTTAAGAGAAGTTTCTGGATACCAAGTTTGTGATAAAAAAGGAAAACTGATGCCTGCAAGTAACTGCAAGTTGCAGGCTGCCATTAGCATAGATGAAGCACTGGGAACAGTGACTTATTTCCCCTTTGAAATATAATAAGAAAAGAGAAAAAAATCTTTTGTGTTATATCTTCATCCATTAATCTCTAGCACCAAATCCTCATAAACATGGTGACAGACACAGAGTAATTCTTATATTTCAAAAAAGGTTAATCAAAAAATAGATAAAAGGTAAAAGTGCAGTCAATAAATAATCTTATAAGACTAAACATTGCACTCATCCTTTTCAAGTCACTCATTAGTCATCAACAGTGCCCTCAGTGACATTTTTAATGCATTATTTCAAAGTTCTTTCTTTATTATTGAGAAGGGAACTTTTTTTAGCTTATAAAGCTCCATGTATAGTCGAGGTCTGGTTCACCATAAATGAGCAATTTCCCAGCAGACAAGAAACTACTCTGACAGGAACATTAATAATACCTTTGAACGTCTACTGCCCCATTTCATTTTTTTTTGGAGGAGACTTGCAGTTTTATAGGGAAGTGCTGAAGGGAAAAAAAAGGAGAAGGAAAGAAGAGGCAGGAAAGGTTA